CTATCCAGATAACTCGGATATAAATATTTCAAAATCATTTTTTTCTTGAGCCCAAATTATTTTATTTAATATGAGCTACAAAATGATTATAATATTTGATATATTTCATCAACTATTAAAAGACTTGAATATTCGACCTAAATAGTTTATGTTAAATTCTAAAAGTACTCATAATCAAGGTAAATCTTTTATGCAAATAAACGGGTTGAGTTTACCACTTCAACCTTTGGACTTTTAATGTGATGAAAAATCTAGAATTGATTATTTCATTTACTAAACGATCAATATTAAGTTTGGGTAGCAACATAATAAATATAACACAAATTATTTTCGAGTTCTACAAAAAAATTTTATTTTAAAACGACACAGCATATATTTTTCTTAGTCGTTACAATTTGGGTTCCTAATTACTAATTTAAATTTAATTCTCGATTTCTTTCCTTTTGAATTTTTAAACTCAATGCATTTTCTTGACAAATGTAGAAAGGAGATTTTGGAGAGACGTTCAGATATGACATATCATACCACATTAAATGAGTTAAATGTTTCATTGGCCACTAAACTTTGGGGTACTTTCAAACTTTTTCCACTGGCAACTGAACTTTAATCCGTTACTGGCCATTACCCACCGCACCAGATATGTTAGTTGACAAGTCTACGTGGTAGATGAAAAACTGATTTCGCTCGTTAAATCCTTAAAATTGTTAAATGTTCTGCCAAATCAGGTCCATATCAGCATAATGAAACACACCTTTCACAGTTGAACCATGCTTCAGAACCCGGGATAAAATCCTCGATTCCAAGCCAGGGCCGAGTGCTTGATCCTCTTACATGCGGGGCCCGAGGTTTTGCCACCTCTCGACCCCTGGATCAAATCCCGGGAGAAGACGCATTATTTTTCACAGTTTCACTTTCCTTTCCTCAGACAACCCAAATTGCAGAATTCAGAAACAAGGTTGAAGAAGAAATTGGAAGCGAAATAGAAACCCTAAATCCCCAAAATTTTGATTCGAAAATCGATACCCATAGCCCGGTCCTTCCCGCCATCATTCGCTCGTCAAACAGCCCAAATGAAGCGTAAAGAACCAGCACCCTTCCATTTCTGCAATTTGAGCGAATGGACGGACAACAAGAAGCTAAAATGTTGAACTTTTTGTGGTTTTTCATGTGCACGTAAGAGTCCATTCTCGTAGTAAAGATTAATGGATAAATTTCATTTCATTTCTAGTTTGAGCAATTTGGCAAGGTTATTGGATTTGGATAATGCCGTGTTCTTCACCTTTTTTTCTAACGATAATGCACATCTTTCACAATTTTTCCCATATGTCTGCATATATGTACGGTGCACTGAATGGGTACAACGTAAAGTTTAAGGCAAATGAGGGAAGAAGAGTGCAAGGGATTTGTAAACTGGGCTGCAAATTGTGGACATGGGTTTCGAGGGCAGGAAAACAACGACGAGCGAATCATAGTACCTTTACAAGAACACATGTTCGCTAATGTGTTTCCCTTTTTGACGAAAGCTGCTATGGGAGTTGGATCATTTTGTTGCAGTCAAGCAGCCATATGTCAAACAAGATTTAGAAGCACCCAAATGTATAAAGTAGACAGATCAATGGTTTTCCTTGGAACAGCAATTGAATTATGATTCTTTCAAATGTAAATGATTTTGCAAAGTAAATTGAGAAACTATTATGTATGGTTGGTTGGGTATATATTAGCAGAAATAGTGTTTGTAATCCTTTGTATTTAATGTTGTGTTTGTCCTTTTTTTCCACTACAAAGGTTGCAGTAATGTGCTCTAGTATAGAAAACAGGGTTCTGCATTTACTTATGTCACTTTCATGCTAATTTTTTGAGCATTAAATTCGAGGTTAGTGCAAGGAGTTAGTGTGTGTTGGTGATGGAGTATGTAATGTCATCAAATGAAAACTTTATGCTGCAAAGGACCATCAAGAGAGATCAAAACTTGGTTCAAAAATAACATAAAATGAGAAGAATTTGATATCATTCATCTGAGAAATGATCTTTACAATCTGGTATAAATAGACATTTTGATCAACAATCTTAACTAACTAACAAACGTGTTACAGACCAATACAATTGGAACACGTATATAAGTGCAACTAACAGAACCAACTCCCAGCTGTGTAATCCATTTGCAACTTTCGGTTAACTTCCACTCCAGTTTCTTCTGGCTTGCTCCCAGCTACTTCCAGCTTGCCTCTATTCTGTTAATCTCCATGCATTTCTCGCAATTCCCTTGCCGCATACGGGGCATGGTTTTTTCGTCAAGCAATCCAACAAGTAATGGCTCAGCTTCATGTAACCACGACAAATCCCCTTGTTCTTTCCACCCATTATACTATCCTATTGCAGCCACAAAAATGAAAAGAAAAAAAGATCAGTAATCATGTTCATTCCACCTAATAAATGGCTGATCATATTGTTCTTTCCTCCATTATACTATACTATTGCAGCCACAAAAAAGAAAAGAAAAAAGATCAGTAATCATGTTCATTTCACCTAGTAAATGGCTGATCATATTGTTCTTTCCTCCCATTATAATATCCTATTGCAGCCACAAAAAAGAAAAGAAAAAGTTATCAATAATCATGTTCGTTTCACTGCCTCCCATTATAACCCTATTGCGGCCACAAAAATGAAAACAAAAAAGATCAGTAATCATGTTCTTTCCACCGTGTAAATGGCTGATCATAAGTAAAACTGGCTTCAGATAACAATGAAAAATGTAATTACCAAATTCAGAGAATGAAGATAATCAACAAGCCTAAGAAAGTCTAAACAAAGTTACACATTACAATAAGTAAAATATAACCCAATTCAAAATCAGATTCCACTAAAATCATCACATTCAATACCCAGCCTATTTCCAGAAATGTAAAAATAAGGCCATGCCAAGCCAACCAATATAGAAATAAAATGTCTTGAAAATAAACTTCGCACGTTTTACTACGCTCGAACCCCAAAAAAAAAAAAAAAAAAAAAAATCTTGCCATTTCTTGGGGATTTTGGGTTTGAGAGAGTAATGTTTCATTATGCTGATATGGACCTAATTTGGCAGAACATTTAAAAATTGGTCGGTGGGTAATGGGCACTAACGGATTAGAGTTCAGTCGCCAATGGGCAAAGTTTGAAAGTTCGGTGGGTAAGTCGTGACGTACCCCAAAGTTCAGTGACCAATGAAACATTTAACTCCACATTAAATAAAGAATATATTTTTTAAAATCTATTTTAGATATTCAAAACTCTCTCTAAATTTCATTTGTTATGTTCATTAAAAATTGTCATTCGCCTAGTCTATCAAGCAACTTAGTTCAAGACTTCTAAAAAATCACAATTCTAAATGGTTATTAACATTTTTAATAAGTTCCGCCTTCCATAAGAGGGGTGGACAAAATGTCCAGACCAAACCAAACCAAAAAACGAAGCGGTTAGGTTCGGTTCTAGGAAAAAAATTAATGGTTTTGGTTCTTCGAACCGAGAACAATTTTGTTTCGGTTCCGGTTCAGTTCTGATGCTAGAACCAAGAACCAAACATAATTTAATGAATCTAATTTTATATTAATGGAAGTCAGTCCAATAGCCATTATTTTTACAGCTCATTAAAACTGTTTAGCTCATTAATTTTTGGGAAAATGTCACCACACACTACTTATTTTAAAATAATTCACTTATTACATTTCAATTGGATTTTCACCAAAAATACTTCAAATTAATATAGTATATTTGAAATTTTGGATATATGTTTATTTACATATATTATATATATTAGACTAATTTATTTGCCGGAAACAAGCCCCAATCTACTCCTCATAATCCAACCCGCCCAATTTACGCCCCAAAACCTAGAAATCCGCCTCATCTTACTAGAACAGACGTAAGAAAATCAAAGAAAATCTTGCCATCTCTGATGGAGAAGCTGAAGCCCGATAACCCATGGGTACCGTCTAGATCCTGGGATTCCGTTCCTTCTCAAACTGGCGTGTCCTCTCAGTCTCCCTCCTCATTTTATTTATCCTACTTCCACTGTCTCCGAGTCCAGTTTGATGAGGTTGGTGATGAATGCTCTACAGGGTGTAGAATCTGTTTTAATAACTATTGAGAAATCTCTGCAGCACTTTGTTACATTTTCAGCAGACGGAACTTCTCATCAAATTTCAAGCACAAACTTAACCATTTTGGAATGTATGTTACAGCATTGTGTACAATCAAAATTTTCCCAAGTATCATGGTGCAGATCTCTGCTCTCCCTTAAGCACAAAGTTTTGAAGATTGCATTTTGTTGCTGTAGGACTGTGGTTCATGCACTGTTTCCTGACACCAGCTGGGATTTGAAGATTGCATTTGTTGTAGAAGATTGATTTGGCCCCCACCCAAAGATCTTCCACTTTGACAAAACACCATATTAAATAATCCAATTAATTTGTGAGATTTATTATTATTAAATTGTGACAATTTGTTGTTTTATTGTTGGAAACAGATTTGCTGTAAGAATCCCCCGAAAATGCATTGCTCAGAATGATGAAATAATGTTGAATGTGAGAAATTGTTATTGCTGTGCAAAAGTTTACAATAAAAGGGATTGTTTTCTTATATACAATCTGGAAGGAAATGCATTTTTTTTTCTTGAGCGAAGCTTTACAAAAAGCACTGTCATATATTCATGGTTTTAGCTTTCCATTAGTTGGTGAATGAGTAATTCTTAAAACTGAACTGAGATTGAAAACTGAAGTAATTGACAGATATACTAATTTGCATGCTGCTGGCTTTGGTTGCCTTGTACTGATGCTAATGTATGTGACTTTTCCTTTCCTTGATCATCAGATTATTGATTTCACAATGTTTCTGGAATTAATTCTGTAGATCACTCCTAGCAGAAAATTCTGTAGGTCACTTTTTTTTCCCAATACCAACAAGAAAAAATATCTTACTACTGAACTGGCAAGAGTAAAACATAGTACCCAAAGGTTATGCTAGAGATCATGTCATATAATCATATGAAACTGAATGATTTTCTTCCTTCTAAACCGTACAGAAAAAACTTCAAGAAATTGCAAAGATTGAAACTAAAATTATCTAAGCAAAATGACAAACAATATGAGAAACTTGGCTTCAAAGAGAATTTTCTGTACTCAGTTTCCAAAGTAGAGAAGCATAAGTTCGTAAAATCTCATTTCTTCTTGCCAGCCTTAGCAGCATCTCCAGCTTTAGTCTTCTTCACACCACGTATCTTCTTTGCTCTGTTCTTTCTCTCCTTCAGTTGCTTCCTGGACTTCCCTACCTTGGTATCAAGACCATTCCTACTGAGCATGTATTTTGGCTCGTATTTCTTCGCATTTTGAATAGAATCATAGATCAAGCCAAAACCAGTTGATTTGCCTCCACCAAAGTGGGTTCTGAACTTGAACACAAATATTGCATTTGGATCTTTCACTGCATACATCCTTGCCAATTTCTGTTTCAACTCAGCCTTAGAAACATTGGCCCGTCCTGGATGTAACACATCTCCTGATACTGTGAAGATATATAGGAGACCCAATATTGCTTGAATAAGGGCAAGCTTACATTTCTAGTATTATGCACAAAGTGGCCTTTAAATCTTGTGAATGTGCATTTTTATGCTCAATGTAACATTACACGTCCTAGGTAGTTGCTTCTAGTGTCACGATTGTTATATATTTATGGTATAAATATAAAATGTGAAAGAAATAATCAAATTAGATAAAGTGCCAAAGTGATGGGATATGTGGCATCTGTGTGGGATATCAGGGATTCGAGTCACTCCTCACGCAGTTATTAAAATGTCTTGATTGGGGCTTCAGGCTCTTGGGCTTCTTCCTTGACTAAAATAAATGATTTTTTAATTATTATTTAATGGGTAAAACTAGCTAATATTTTCTGACTGTTTGTTTTTGTAACAACCCACTAATAGTCATTAAAATATCCACTACCCAGTCATTAAGATTCTGAATTAATCTCTGATCATGGTGGAGACTGTTACTTCCATCCTGCCTATATAAATCCATATATCGTTTTGGAAAAAAATACACAAAAAGAAAATAGAAAAATCCTCTTGTATCAATCCTTCTTTTTCATATTCTGATTTTCTTATGCTCGGGTTTTTACATATATTTTGGAGTACAATTAAAAGTTCTGGCAAAACCATTCGTGATTGCTGCACAAGTGGTTTACGATCGTTGTATCCTGGGAGTGATTGTCCATGGAGGTCACAGCAATTATCGACGGACAATCTCACTTTAGGACATCGTGCTGTCACGAGACTCGATCGGACGATAAGTCTTATATATTTTTGCATTTTATTGTTCTGAACATTACTGCAACTAGTTATTATTCCAACAACGATATCCCAAGTCGTTACATTTGTGCCTATATTTCAAACAATGTGATTCGTAGACTGACTATTCTACACTGATGCGATTTTTTTTTGCTACAAACGCGTGATATTTTCTCGAATGGTATACTACAGCAAGTATGTAGATTTCAAGATAAGTTTTGTCAAAAAGTTCACCGAACGAAGGCATTCTTTTCGTCAATAGCCACAACTCTCTTGCGGATTCTTTTTGATCAGACAATATTGATGACATTTTCTTAAGCAAACACAGGTATCGGTCCCGGTCATATCCAGCTAAGCCATCCTCATCGGAATGCTGAAAAGAGTCTGACAATTTAATACCGTGATTCTTGCACCACTGCAATATAAACCATTTCTCATGAAGGGCCGATCATAAATTTGTACACATTGTAGCAAGAATGTTAACACTATAAACAAGAAAACACATTAAACGAGAAACTGCATTTTAAGATCTTGAAAAATCCAAATAAAGATAGATTTTCGTGTCAACATATCAGCCAAAATATATATACAGAAATCAACCGCCAAACAAGTCAAAATGCATAAAATTTGCACAAACTACTGCAGATTTGTACGCACGTCTGTTCAATCACATACACACACACACACATACAAATTCAGAGTGCAGTCATGTACAGCTACTATTTCATCTGGACGGTATCCAACACGCTTGTATTCGAAAGAATCTTGCATATGCAAAAAACAATCCCACATTCATGATCTCAAACTACAAAACATGCTAGAAATGACGTGTTGCCAGTGCATGTAGATCCAATGTTGCTGCCAGTGAATTATTTCATAATTATTTGAAATTTTCGATAAATTTTTACGTTGACCCTAACTATGTTAATTTAAAAGAATCGACGTTACCGCTATCTTTCATATGGTTCGAATCAACAAGTGATGGTCTTACGCTAGAGATAATAAATGCAAAAACCACAATATCTTGGCGGACAAATACATGATTCTACATTACAGTGACAAGGCACTCAATAATCGACTTATTCAATTTTCTCTCCCGTCATTGTATTTAAATTGGTTTTCACTCGATTTACTTGCACTTTTACACCTATACCATGTTACTGTGAGGACGTGCAGTGTTTGAGAAATTACATTGTACGAAACATTTACGTTAAAAAGGAAAAAAGTATAACACAACCCTGTGAAATCAGTATCACACGCATAGGGAAATATTACTAATAAACGCAAGAAATACCTGTTTGGTCGGAGGAAGTCGTTGGCAATTCAAGCTTGGGAAGAACGGGGGAACACTGACTCTTGTTTCTTGTCGAGCTATTCCTTTATGTAGTGGAGAAATGGTGAATCCTGAGTCGAATCCCTATCCTTTCAGCAATTTGATTTAGAAAATCTATGTAATTAGCTAATTTCCGGTTTCAAGTGTGATGATGGAGAGAGAATTTTCAGTTACAAAACTCAAGATATGGAAGGTCAACAGCATAGTATTTTTGGATATAATTTCACCCAAATGAAGTAGGAAAGTAGTAATATTCTGTGTCCCAGTATTTTTGGTGATTGTTTTTTTTTTTTTTTTTCACATACAAACGTGAAAATTTCCCTTAATTTTTCTCTTTAATAGCCATAGCCGTCCACCCCAAAAGATTAAGAGAAACCCAAATTCCCAATTCCAATTTGTCTCTCAACATTCACCGTCTCATTCTTGCCATCGACGCCGCCTTCCAATCCATCATTGTCTTTATCTATGAGGATACTTTGAATTTTGAGGCAGTGAGGTTTGCTTGTTTATAAATACGTATAATTTATAAATGAAAGCTGACCCTTTTGTTGAAATTTCTTCATTTTTTAAATTTCTAAAAATTCACCTTCATAGTGCCATGATAGAGAATGATAGGCAATACCACCACCACTTTTCTTAGTTTGCACACAGACATCATCATCTCACACCCTTCCTCGTTCAGACGGTGCCACTTTTCCCAGTTTCCACACGGACATCATCCCACTTTTGGACAAATGATGAAATTGAACTCCGTACTATTAACTTCAACCAAGCTACAGTGTCCGCAAGGATGATCGCACGGTTAACACAATACACACATGGGGGTTAGGATTATTTTATTCATGGGAGACCCACGCCTCGGCTATGAGTAAGCGGTCATCCGCAGGATTACCGACGTGGGCCAAGTGGTTTTATTCTATTAATTTTTGGCAATGACTCATTCGTTTATATTTTATTTGTTAGTTTGAACTTTTAGAATCTTAATTATTGATAATTTGAACTTGTTAAATGTTTGTTGCTTATATATATATATATTTTTTTTATTTAAGCACATATTACTAACTTATAGATATTGTGCAAATTTGAAAACTTAAGTAATAGTACTAGTCTACTAGAACCAGACCAAACCAAACCAGAACTGAATGGTTCGGTTCGATTTGATTCCACTTGTGAAAAAAATCATTCGATTCCATTATCAAAAAAATCATTGATTTATGGTTGAGTTTGGTTCTATTGGAACCAGAACCAAATGGAAACACGTTCTTCTCTCACTGAAAATCGAAGAAATTAAAAAGAAAAAAAAAAGAGGGGAAAAAAATAAAAAAACACCAACACAGAAAAAGGAAAAGGGAGAAAAACACTTCAAGTATGCCAGGCTCATTTGTTAACTTTTGCTATGAATTTATTTATTCATTTATTATTATTATTATTATTTGTTGTGTGATTGGTGTCTTTGTTTTATTCCTTCTCTTTTTCAAAGAAAAGGTTAAGAAGACAAAAGAAAAGGAATAAGAAAGGGATGAAATGAAAGTAAAAGATACCATAACTAAAGGAAAAAAAAATCAACTATGCAAGGCTCATTTGTAACTTTTGCTTCGATTTTTATTTATTTATTTATTTATTTTGTGTGATTGGTAAAAAAGATAGGAATAAGAAATGATGATATGAAAGTAAAAGATACAACAACTAAAGGAAAAGATTAATAAATGTCATGGGAGAATAAAGATGCAAGAAATTTGAAGGAAAAAGGAGAAAAAAATTGACGAGCTTGTGCCAGAACCTTTTCTCCCATGTCAAGTCTTCGAAGCCCTAGTTTTCCCTCTTTAACAGAGACCTTGTACAGCCATACTCCGTATTTTGAAAGTCATGAACGTTTCCTCTTCCCGTCGCTGAGTTTTTCTTTTTGACTAATCTGAAATTTTATTATTTTCAATATTTTCTTGGAAAGTTTGCTTGTTTGGTCTGTTTGAGCTCTCGTTTGAGCCTCATTATTTCTCATTACATTAAATTAAGTTTTTCTCTCTCATACTTTTAACCACACAATTTTCAATAAAAAAATATTACACATTAATCAAAAAATTTTCAACCACTCATTTTTCAAAAAAAATACTATTTATCTCATTATAATCACAAATAATAGGGCTCAAACGGGGTACGTATGTGCCACGCGTGCGCCGCAGAGACATTCTAGATTACGCGGGCCGGCCCCACCAGGTTAAGGTCCATGTGTCAGTGGCCTGTCTCAGATACTTGGATCCGATAACCCGTAATTTGACCAAGTCCGGAATCAAATAGCTTTGACCCTTTCAATTCTGATTAAAGTATCATGGTCAGAATTATTTATTTTCAGTGGTCAAATTTTTTTAGGTCAACAACGTTGGGATATAATATATTTTCAATAAATTCTAAAAATTCCTCTGAATTTCCACGTTTTTTCAGGACACTACAATTTTGTATGTACAATAATACTCATGAATGTGATTTTGTGAAAAAATTTCTTACATTTAATTAATACTTCATCCCTTTACTAAAAAAGTTTCCTCTTGAAAAAGCAACATTTTCCACCACAATGATACCAGGGGAAAAATTCATGAACAAGGAAAATTCATATAATATATATATATATTCATTTTTGTTAGAGTGAGTGCTAAATTAAGAGGAATGTCAATTCAAAAAATAATCTCTTATAATTTCAAAACACTACTAGGGGGAGCGTTGATGATTTCGCTTTCCCACCAATTTCAGTGGATACACTGTGTTCATTTATTAGGGTTGGATTCATGGAGCGTAGGTATCACGGTGTCAATAATGTTTGGAATGCTTTTGGAGACGTTGAAGGCGACAATTCTAGCAAGGGCCTTCTAATCCAACATGTGGTATGGTTTCTGCTGTAGGGTGTGCTTTGACCCTGTTTGGCCAACAGTAATTTCTTCGTGGAATTTTGAAAACCTGGGATTTGGGTTTAGGTGTCGCTTATGGACGCCTTGCTGAGATCAACGGTTTGGTTCGGAGACTTTCGATAACTGTGTTAATGAGATTAACTATTTCAATGCAGATGGATTTGAAATCTTGGAGTTTCATTCGTTGCACCGAAATTTGTGTCAAGGTGGAGATTTTTTTGGTTTATGGCCAAATTAGGGTGAATTTTTTTTTTTTTGAAAATAAATTGTTTCCTTATTTTCATGTAGGAAAAATTGTTTCCTTATATTTCATTTGATTTTTTATGGAAACATATTATTTTCTTATTCCACATTATTTTCATCTTTATGCTATGCCATGTACCTATAAAAAGTGGTATCTTCTGTCAATTTTTTTTAAGCAAGAATTGTTGAGTTCTTTCATTTCTCTCCATATGGTCGATTAATAAAATGTCGTGCTTCTACAATTAACTCTCTTTG